TCACCCCTGGCTACTGGACTCTCTTCACCCGCTCGCACAGGACTTCATTCTGCACGAACTTCACCTTCACCCTCCAGCTGGTACCGCTTCCCGACCCAGCCCGGCGGTGAATGTGTTGCACTGCCCGCCGGGGAATCTGCGGCCCGGCCCGCCGGATGTGGAATTACCCGGCCGGTCGGAGCTATCTCTGAGAAGGAAGCGACGTTCACGCCGCCGCCCATCGCCACAGTGGTGAGTGGAAAAGACACTCTGTCTGTTTCGCCAGACCTTGTAACTGTTTATACCGGGGCTGTGTTTTTTGAGTCAGCTGCCCAGCCGGTAGCTCAGTTAGCTGCCCAGCAGCCACTAGCTCAGTTAGCCGCTCAGTCGTCACCTCCATCACATTCAGCCTCACGACCCATAGCTCAGTCGTTACCACAGCCAGACCTACTACAAACTATGTTACAATCCATAGCCCAGTCAATAGCTCAGTTGGTAGAAGACTCATCAGCCTTATCATCAGCTCAGCCACCTATTCAGCCATCATCTTCACCAACTCCTCTGGTACAGCAAGCCATAACAGTTCAACCCATAAAGGACAGTTCAACAACTTCTTATTCTAAGCAGAGAGACAAACCTAACAACAATGAAAACACTCCTCAAGAGCTGGCCAGTTCTGAGACTGAGACGCACTCCAGGGCCTCCCCAGAGGCTGGGTTTCGGCCCCCAGCAGACTCTGGACCCCTGGAGGTTAAGAAGCCAGTTGAGGACTGCACCCGGCTGTCGCTGCCTGAGCTGAGTCAATGCTCGGTGCAGCTGCAGTCTGCTTTGTGTTTGCCAGAGGCCACCATGCCTGCTGGTTCTGATTTGTTCCTGCCAGAGGTTCGTGCGCCTGCTGGTTCTGATCTGTTCCTGCCAGAGGCCCGTGCGCCTGCTGGTTCTGATTTGTTCCTGCCAGAGGCCCGTGCGCCTGCTGGTTCTGATTTGTTCCTGCCAGAGGCCCGTGCGCCTGCTGGTTCTGATCTGT